GACTTGCTTTTGCATTTGACATTAGAACCATTGGATGCATGAATGCAAAGATCAGATAGGTGACAGGAAAATTTAAAAGAGACATCAGATCGAATCAAAATTTTGCAATTTTTAGGTAATTTAGAATCAGACAATTGAAAATCATGCCATTTCTTTTTTGAAGAGATGCAAATATCTTTTTTTTTATTGGAATGAAAGCGCTTTGCACATTCTTCACATGCAAAGCTGTTTCCATTTTCCATAACCTCAACGCTTGTAAACTGTCTCAAACTATCTTCCAAATTCCAGGAACCTTTTTTTTTGTGATCAACACTATTTTTTTCAAAAAGTAAAAAATCAATATATTTAGATGTTTCATCAATTGCGGTTGAAATCTCAGAAATAGCAAAATCGTCTTGATACATGTCGATAGCATCTTTCTTGAGAGAATCAACAGACATTCCTTTAAAATCAATATTTGTTTTTGTTGTATTTTCTAAACTTCTTGGTGATGAAGATACACCTTCATCAAATACATCTAATAAAGTTGATCGTTTTTAAAACAAAAAATAATGATTACCTTCTGAACAATTATTTGAACGAGATATTTGAGAATTAAGATGCAAACGATTCTTATCTTTCTTTTTAGCCTTCTTAGGACGAGTACTTTTACGGTCTACTTGATCCTATAACAATTGAATTAAAAACAACACAATAAAAGTCTTACAGAATCGTCCGTCATAAGAATATTTATTGACAATGATATATCTTGAAACTTTTCATAAGTCACAGAAACCTTTAAAATAAATATAAGTAAAGTTAAATTCTTGATTATACCGATTTGCAAGTATCACAAACAACGATACTTGCTAGCCTTCCTCCAAAAAGCTTATCAACAAACGTAATATTTTCTTGTGTATCACTATTATTTTCTGTTAGATTTTCATTTTTAACGGTAGTCATAAATGTTATATCATTTTTCCCAAATGCCTTTTGTTTTTGCCTTGATTTTTCAGTTGCATTTTTACTACATGTATTAGAAAGTTCCTCTGTATTCAAGGAATCAAGAAAATAACGCAACAATTCGTGTGCATCTTGCTGTTCATACGATTGAAACTGTCTATGTCTATTTTGCACCTGACTAAAGAGTTTTTGTGGCTTAAATATGATATTTTTGGAAGTGCAGGAATATACAACATCGAGATATTCGATAAAAGCAGAGATCAGGGATCCTTTTGCGTTGATTCGAGAGAAGATTGGGGTTGAAAATGGCGCAGAAGACACCACATCGTGAAGCAAATAGCTAGCAGCCAAAACCTGCATAACCTTGACATAAAAATAAAGTCGCATTCACACCAAATCATACATACTGAATTGAAATAGCACGTATTCCCGAGATTCTCGAGACCAGGAACCAATGATACATATTTAAGCGAGAATTGCTTGTTTTCAAGACGCTTTTTCTCGCTTTTTACATTTTTGGCCAAAAACCTGTTCTGAATGATGCCCTGCAACTCGCTGGCCGCCCATCCCTCCGTCTTACCAAACGATATCTCATTGTTGCAGATACAACAGTCTAAAAGCATTAACCCCAGCCGCAAAACATCCTGCCCTACAAATACTAATATTTTTCGTATTTACAAAGAGACAATGCATAGGCTTCTTTACAATATGGTTGTACAAATGGCTCTTGGGACCCGAGCAAAAAATGCTGCCGCAATGCAGACAAAAGCAAAGCCCATCAACATCCTTTGATTTGGGGCATTTCTAGACCCATAAACCATGAACCCAAGAAAAAGGCGCAGAATACCAGACATCTGTTCTTCTTCACAGAAGAGCACACCGCACGAATAACCCGGGAGACATCCACCAGGCTTTCTGAATGAACACAGTTGCTCATCAACCCCCCCAACAGCTCGTATTTTGAGGCACAGTCCGGACCCTCTCCACACAATATCTCTGTATGAGTCAGCAGCCCTATCAGCCAAGTATTGCCCCATACCTGCCTCGTTAGTGCTGCTCATTGGCATCGTTTATTTATGGCGTGCGACGTCCAGCCGGACATCGGCCTAAATATAGGTGAGTGGGAGGCGCTGTTTGAGGCTATTCTGACAGATTTTAGGAGAAACAGAGGTATTTTTCAGCGTCTTATGAGCCTATGTTTTAAAAAGCCCTTTTTTCCGGCAAAAAACAGTGGATTTTTGAGGAAAATACTGGAAAAAAGATCAACATTGAGTCTATTATGTTCAGAGGCTTGAGGGCCTCTCTTGGATAGCACAAAGACACAGAATACACAGGATTCGCAGGGCCAAATCGTCCTGCAGAGTCGGCTTTATGATGGATCTAAAACGCAGCTCAAATGAGTACTTGAATTTTTTATTGTCATTTTTTTTATTTGGCTAGAGATACACCCTCCTCAAAGAAACAGAAGGGATCGCTTAGTTTATCGGTGCAGGATCGCTATGGACAGGCTTTTTCGCCCCCCGCTTCCAAGAGTAGTTCGTATCTATATAGCGGGTCCAAAGGCTCTGGTACCATAAACATCTATATTTTGTCTGAATGTAGCGTAACTCTGTATTCTAGCTGGTGCAGCAGTCGGCATGGGGAAAACAAGGTAATTCGTGTAAAATGTTAGTCTTTATATAAAGAGGGCCAGCGACGACCGACAAGATGCTGAACAGCTTCAGGATGCACTCATATCAGCTGGGGTCGACATTAAAGTAGAATGCATTCGTTGTGCGTGTTTGAAGTGGTAATTTGTGTATTAGGAAGAAGAACACAATATGAGCCGGTCCTACGACTATGTGTTTGGGTCTAGTGTAATACCTCTGGAGGAAGATCGATCAAAAATGACAGACTTTTTGAACCCAGTTCCGCTCAATGATCTTATTTATAGAATTGGTATGCCGTAGTTCTTATTGAGGAATGATTTAAAAGAAACAGCGGTTTCAAATTCTCTTAAAACGATAGATCCAGATATAGGACCGCTTCTTGCACTTTCATTGCGCGATAGAATGGCGAGTCTTTTGTCAGACATGATCATTTTGTCTAAACATCGTACTGCATCGCTTCCTGTTGATAGAAGGATAATTGACAATGTTGGAAAGATTCTAGAGGACATAAATATCAAAGAAAAAGACAAGGAGGAAAAGCGAAGAGCCAAATTGTTATCAAAAAAGCTAGAAGAGGAAAACAGAATGGACAAACAGGGCGTATTATCTGGAAATCCAGAAGAGACAGATAAAAAAAGGAAAAAAAAAGAAATACTATCGAATTCATCTTCAAAAAATCTGTCAGAAGATGCGCAGAAACGAAATATCGATACAACAGCAGCAATAATGATGGGATTGGGACCCAATGGTCCAGGCGGTAAAAAATATTCATGGATGACATCGACATTGCCATTATCTCCAAGATATGTTACAAAAACACCAAAAGCTACAAATATTCACTCACAAACAAATCCAGAAACGACTATTATACAAACTGTTGAAGAAATAGGAATTATTACAATAAGAGACGCACTTAATGTTTTAGAGATGGACAAAGAAGGCGCAGGAGAGATCTTTGGAAGAGGTGCACGAGCCTTATCCAGAGGATATATACGCTTAAAAGACTAACATACAACAAATTTAACAATTGGATTCAATCTACATAGAAAATTAAATAATCTATTATACAGAATTCATTCAATAAAAGTGATATCAAATTGCCAAATAAAGACACTATAAACTTAAACTAAATTACATCTCAAGTCTAAATGATAACTATCTGATTTAGATAACTAAATTATTACATGGATTTTTTTTTCTTTCTGTTTTCTCTATCAATATCTGCAAGTGCCTTGGCAGCATTAATCATTTGAACAATATTAATAATCTGTTTTCCAAGGCAAATAGGAAAACTTACAATGCCAATTAACACAGGATATGAAAGTGGAATATTAAAAACATAACCTATAAATATTTAATTAAAGACAATCTTTTCAATATAACCCTATTAATACCAAGTCGTGGCGGAGATTTTGGAGGAAAAGAAAGAAGATATAAAGCTACAAAGAAAAGCTCGTTTGCAGAACAAAAAACAAAAAGAATAACCTATATAGAATTAAACTATTAATCATTAATATTAAAATTACATTATTTTGATAGTATTGTCGAAGAATCCAACTCTGATCATCAGGAATCTTCTTATGTGAAGAACTTCCCTGAGACAATGTTGAAAATACATGCATGTAGTGACTTGCCAAATCGATAGAAATAAGAAACTGAAAGGTAAACGTATATGCTGGGTACGCAGAAGATAAAAAACATAACAAACAGGATGTAGTACATCTACAAAACTTAATCAATCCTCACCAATTCTAAGACTTTACCGATCTGTAACCATATCTAAAATAGCACCAAATTTTGTTGCTATATACTATCAATTTTTGCCATCCATAGAAAAAATAGTGAAATACATACATTGACCTAGACATCTAGCAGCCATCCCATCAAACGCATCAAGCAAGCATGATAAAATATAAAGCCATGTACAATATCTATTAATTTAATATTTTAAAAATTTAATTATTCAATCATTCCATTTACTTAGGATGATAAGGCATAAATTTTAAAGATGCAGCTGCAAGCAGAATACGAAAATAGCCTTAATGCATCTTAATCCCATGTATAAATATGTTCAGCCATCATTTTTACCTATTAAGTTCGGAAGAAAAAGAAAAATATTCTCTTCAAATCCATAAAACTTAAAGGCATTATGTGTCTGTGCATCCTTGCTATTCATAGAATGAAAACATTAAATTGTGCCTTTATAAAGGCATTTGAAAAATGCAAGACTATATATATAAGACCACCTTTTTTAATAAGTTAAGTTCGATAAAAAAAACAAAAATACAACCTAACCCTGAGGCTCTGAAAAGTTTGTTTTAGAGAAAAGAGACAGTTATATTGCTTTTTTTTTCCTCTAAAAAAGTGACTAAAAATGGTGTATTTTGTTAAGAAAATAAAAAGACCAGCCGAGCCAGATGGGACTCGAACCCATAACCTTTGGTGATTTTTTCTTGCTAGCCGAAAACCAATGCGCTAACCATTGCGCCACCAGCCCAGACATACAATCTACCCACGTCAAAGAAAATTATTAACCCAGTCAAAGTAATAAGATGAAAAACTAAAAGTTATCCAATTATTTTGATAATTATGTAAAATGAAGTGATTCATTCAAGCTGAGAAAGACGATAAAGTAAAGATCTCGCATCAGTGAGATTGACTGTATCAGAATTGTCATTTGAGTATATAGGAAGTTGTGTTAGAATAGATTTTTCAATGTATAATATACGTTCAGATAAAGATAAAGGTTTTTTGTCATATGTTAAAGCCAATGTTTGTAAAGAACTTAAAAGAGACTGTAAAGTCAAAGTCTGATTGACAAGAAATTCAACAGTTTCAGGTAAAGGTTTGACTAAAAAATAAAATTTGAATAAATTAAAAATAAATACACAACATACCTTCATGTTCCTTTGAAATGTCAGATAAAAAAGCAAGTTTCTTTGTAAAATCACGAAGCTGTTGAAGTATGGATTGATTCAACAGATCTTCATTTTCAAGAGTATGTAATACTTTATACGCCTAAAACAGCCATTTTTTAGTAGAAAAATAAACAAATATATACGAGCAATACCATGCTAATTTTATTTTTTAAAAGAGAAATTTCAGACTTGATTTTTTCAAAATCTTGTTCAGACTTAGAAAAATCAACGTCCTGAACAAATGAATAAAAAATACATAACAAATGAGTCCTACCATTTGATGTCGTAGCTTTATCCACCCTCTTATATTCTCTGGAACCATAAAAATATTACGTAAAGCATAAAGTTCAAATGCATCAAAATTTCTATCTATAGCATTCTCTAAAAAGGTTTCAACTTGTTGAACTCCTTCATTAATCTCTTTCTCGGATATCATAGAAGGCGGAAGATGCTTCATATACTGTTCTATAGCTCCAACTGCCTTATATAATAACGTATTAATTGTATTAATAACATCATCAATTAAAGATAAAGGCGGATATGTAAGATGCTCAGTCATAAGCTCATTATTCCACTCATAAAGCGTCTCCATAGATTATAAAATATATATTCAATATTAAAGGCTTGTTTATTTTTCTTAGATTTGCGTTGTTTTTTAAGTCGAACCTCTATAAACAAGCCTTTATTAATTTGTAAAATATATAAGACATTGCCTTTCCTTCTAAAGCCCAGTATTTATTATGAGGAGAAAAGATCCTTCTCATTAAATTCATCAGAGTATAAAACCTTAAGAGCATTTGAGTAATAAGATAATTTCCAAAAATCAGAAAATTCTATCTGCATACCGTCAAATGCAATTCCTAGCCTATTTTCACTGTTATTATCATTCATTATAAAATTTGGAATTTTTGGATATCTTTGACTAAAATGAGTTAAAAGTGTAAAGCTAGCATTCATCCTTTTTCCTATATCAATTGCCTCGCTGGTAGTACTGTGCTTTTTTTTAATTGCTTCCTCAAGTTTATCATCATCAAGAGTCGCTTCATGAATCAAAAGAGTTGAATTCATTCCAAGTTTCACAAAATTTTCATTAGGTCGAGTATCACCAGAATAAGAAACCTTCCAACCATCTAGATGTGTAAATTGCATGCTAAAAGACCATGGACAATGTATTGCATTAACAGTAGAAAACGAAGAAAGAGACAAATCTCTTAATAAATCATTTAAACTGCAATTATAAATTTCATAACTAAAAAAAGGAAATGAATACTTCGTAGGATTCATACGAGAGTCAGAAAGAGTCTTTTTTAGTGTAAAATCTTCACATATATCTCCATTTGATATGGTTCTTACACGTTCCCACCCAAAATCCTCTATATTAGAATATTCTTGAAGAAAACAAAAATATTTCCAAGGCGCAGATACATAAATTACTTTATCATTTTCACAATTCGCCTTATTCCATTGCTTCAATATTCGAATAGTGCCCAAATGATGATCTGCATGAAGATGACTTATATATATCCATTTTAAATCCTTCAAAAAAGAATCCAAGTCTGATCCAAACTGTCTTGACAATTGCCCTAAAGTTCCCTCCCCAGCATCCAGAATCACTGATCCATGACCTGGAATCCTGATAACAGTTGAAGAAACTAACAATTCATCAATCAATATCATAATTTCAAAATATCTACCATTTCTATAATGTGATGGAAGAGCAGAACCTGTTCCAAGAGTAATAACTTTAACATTTGACCCAGGAATATTCGATCTAGCAATAAACTTTTCTTGATCACGAAGAATATCTTCATTTGCTTTTTTTGCAAGAGATAAAAAGACATCTAATCCTCTGAAATTCTCAGGAGATTTTAAATCAATAGGAAAAAGCACTTCATTCTCTATAAATGATGGATTAGGATCCAAAGCAAATTTCTGAAGGGGTTTTATGCCGGTTATAAGCAAATTCTTTATATTTATTCCCTTTTTTTCTGATTCAAAAGCCATACATTGCGGCAAAGGAAAATGATTATCAGATAATTTGTTTAATTTCAATTGTTGCAAAGCCACTTTTTCATGAGTTATCGAATCAGGACACAAAGATGGACATGAAATAATATGTTGAACATTTTCACTAAACTGATGCATCCAATTAATATATCCAGGGTCATTTAAAACATCTTCATTAACCATATGAATCATCAATTGAACTTTCTTCGTTCCTGACTTATAGTAATCATTCCATATATCTTTTTTAACTAATGAATCAACATAATTTTTATCTGGACAATCTACTATAATAAATATAAAACCAGGACGAGGTTTCTCTAGAACTTGATATGGATGAACAACACTTCCATTATCAAGAACAATACTTTCTCCTTTACAAAGTCTTCCAAATTGAGGTCCAGGAGTGACACCCAAAGTTTTGGCAGCAATTGGATTAAATTTACCAGGCTGTGTATGTCCCTCACATATATAAGTTACTGAAATAGGAAAAGGAGTAGTTTCAAGAGCATTATGAACATTTCTATCAATATTTATCATCTTAAGAGAATCCTTTTGAGAAATTTTGGACTTAATATTATCAGAATTAGATAACAAAGCCTTTTGAATATCCTCAAAACATGAAATTTTTACTTTACCATCATTGGAATAAAACACCATTTCTTGTATAAACTCAAAACCATAATGAATATCTTTCATATACTCTTCATAAGATCTCTTTTTATCACAAAATCCAATTTCTCGTGATTTATTAACTAATTCATTATTACGTGGCAGAGAAATAACAGGAGTAATAGTAACATTTTCATCAACAAACAGATCCTTTTCTGACCTGAATTCATTTATTTTAATTTTAATATTAGGCCTTTAAAGTTTTTAGCTTGAATATAATAAAAAACTTAGCAAACCTATAAATAAAATGTCTCAAAGTTAACATCAAATACATAGTATTTCTAGGCCCATGAATCGTGATATCACTTATTAAAGGATTCTGATCAGCCATTGTCAAAAAGAGCCCTAAAATCAAATTAATCATCCAAATATAATTTACATTGAGATAAGCTAATTTATAAAAATAAATAAAATGTACCTGGAAATCCACCAAAGCCTTCCCATACTCCCCTTGAGCCAAATGTTAAAAATACGTCACGAATTTTCCTAGTTTTAATTTTCCTGCCTATACATGTTCTTTGAATGGCTTCTCCTGCACCAAATAAATATCTTTTATTATTACAATGCATAAGAATGGATGGCTGAAAATTAGTATCAGCACTAGGAATCTGAACGATTTGAACAAAAGACTTCATATGTAGCTTTGTTGAACAACAAAAGCCCCGAATACCTGAATATAACCTTAATCCCGCCGTTTTTTTAAATTTTTCAAAGCCTATTCTATCTTCCTTAAGAGGAAGCAGAATAACACAAAGGGCTTTATACAAAAAAGTATTTCCTTATATAATTTCGAAATATACCTTATATATATTATCTAATTGATAATATACAAGGCCTGTTTATACAAAATTTAAAGGGTTATCCAAACTTCTGTCAATAAAAGAAATAAATAAGACACAAAAAAGAAAATTACTTATATAATTTACGAATTTTTAACAAATCTATAACCCATACACTTTATGATTAATATAGTTTATGAGCAATTTTTGTCCTTTTGAATCCAAAAAAAGGGAAAATATGAAAAAATAGAGGGTTATTCTGAATCTATATTAAAATCGACTGATTTCTTGATTCTTCAGGAGCCTTTCTGTTTTTTAGAGATTTTATATATATTTAAGGTTGAATATCGCTCAACCTTAGAAATCGATCGTAACCGTCCTCCAAAAAATATTAAATTGCACAGAAAATGGTCAAAGAGTCTGCCTCTGCAATGAATAAGACAGGTAAATAGATAGGAATGCGTTTATAGAATACAGACCCTTTTTCCCGGAAAAAAAAGCCCATTTTTAAGGGCAAAAGCTAATTTTTTGTTTTTAGGAAAAGCTAAAAAAAAATGGTCCAAAGGAAAAGTAAAAGATAAATCAAATAATACAGTTATTCTTGATAAGCAGACATATGATAAACTTTATAAAGACGTTTTATCATATCGTTTTATTTCAATATCGATATTCGTTGATCGGTTAAAGATTAATGGATCGCTTGCTCGTAAAGCCTTGAAAGCACTTTATGAAGAAGGAATTATTAAAAAAGTCGATACTCACCATGCACAAACAATTTACAGTATGTTTATTTTTTTCTTCATTTTTTATTCATTTTTAGCACGAGCTACACCTGAATAAACCAAGGTTTTGGACAGATTGCAAGCAGAATTGGCATTTCGAATGCCAATTGATGCCTAGCATTCATTTAATTCGTACAAATCTTGACTTGTTTATAATTAAAACTAGTTTTTTTTAAAAATAGAGCACTTTTGTGAAACATGTTTGATTGTAAATATCTTTTTTATTAGGATGGCCTCTATGCAGCGTTTTGATAATATTTTGTCTAAATTGCCTTTAACTCGTATTTTATTTAAGGTTAACGGCATCGAAGCCAACGCACCGCAAAATCCGGCAAAATCTTA